TAAAACACAATTTAATACAATATCATCAGTTAGTATAATAGCTTTTTTTATTTGAAATGTTTATCTTAAACATAATACAATTAATTCTTACAACCTACTTATATAGTTAATTCCTAACACTACTTATTTTCTATAAAATAATCTGTCATATCGGTATACATATCCAGAAGGTAATATAAGTCCTTTAAATCTTCCTTGTTTTGAGATGATAGAGTTTCATAACAAATCCATCTTTTTCGCATAGTTGAAAGAACAGGATCAGAAGATAGAAGTAAACTATTAAAAATATCTTCATTCTGTGATTGCCTGGAGCATTTTCTTGAGCTGAATAGTTGAACATGCTTAAAATCTCGATTCCTCGCTTCCTCGCTTCCTGGGCTTCTTCTGTTAACTCTCCAAGTGGAAGAATATTCGATTCAATTATTATTTGACCATGACACAATACTTTGTGTACTGTTGGTGTTAGTTCCCTCCATGGATACAGAGATACAAGTAATTTAGAAATTTCAGATGTATATTCCCCAAATCGATTTCCATTAATTTTATATTTACTATTCAGTGCCATTAAAATAGTGTTAACTCTTCGAAGCAACTCCTTGTCGATTCCAGTTATTTTTGAAGTAATTTCAAAATCACGAAAAAACCTTCTCGACGTATTACCGTCATTTGTACTACCGCAACTTGAAAGTGGTTTGTCGATGTTTAATCCCATCTGAACTTTAAATTCTTCTTGGATTCTGCTCTTTTCCGCAGCTCTCAGTTCTTTCAATTCTTCATTATTTTTTGTTGATTTAGTAAGATTCTCTGGCACACTTCTATATTTGAGGATCGTATTCTGGCATGAAGTGGTGAAATTCCGAAAGACAGGTGTTCTTCATTAATACTTCTGCTTTTGTTTATATTTGAGAATTGCGACTTTTTCTCATTACATATTGAGCATCTCCAGAAGGAAGAAGTTTCTGTTATGGCATTGCTGACCTTTCCATCAATCACTGTTAAGCTTAGCTGATATGATACGTTAATAGAGAATTCCTTTATTTTTATGCAAATGGGCTCCAGTGCATTTATTTCATCTTTTAAATATTCCACTAAATCTTTTGTTGTTTTCTTTGACTCCTTTATATGTTCAAATCCAATGGGTCTACAAAAATTTTTTGAACCCGGAGTTGTATTGATATATATATCTTCAAATGAAATTCCGATGCTTGACGATGATGGATTAAGGGAATATGAACGAATTCGTAATGGCACTAATGATGACATAAATACACTTTTGTAGTCTGCTAATGTCCGACTTCCACAAGCTTGTTTGTATTCTGGAAGTGCTGATAAACCGTCACATCCCCACTTACATATTAAGACAACATCACAGTTATGAATTTTCCTTAGTTGGTCTTCTGAAAAGTCTGACACAATTCTTGATCCTGTGTTTTCGAGCAAAGATGATATATCAATACACGCTTCCACATCATTAACAGCAATAGGTGATGGTAGGATAGTTTGTTTTTTTTCCAAGATCGCCTTCTATGATGGTAATATATTGTGTCCTTTTTCATGCAGAGCTTTCCTTAATATTTAGTACTTATTTCGACTGAGACCCAGTTCCAACATAAGCGCTATTGCTTCCTCTTCAGTAAAATTTGATTGTGATGTTGGAGTTGGTATACTTTCCACAATTCGCTTAAGTCGTTTTGGTGATGCATTAGGAAGAATAGTTGCAATATGTACGACATCCATAGGTTGGTTTTCCTTTTCAGCATTTCGTTAAATGTATCAGCAATTTCCTCATTTGAGATTGAAAAAAGTTTTTGTGTGACCCTCTTTTTTTTTTTTTGACCTTGAACATAAGTCTTCGTATGACTTGCAAGGCGCTCCTGTTGATGTGTTGTAAGTTGAGATTTCCGTAGTAGTTTCCATCCAACTACAAAATTTTAATAGAAATTTCTTTTGATTTCCATCCACAGACTTACTTTTTACATCAAAAAGTTTTCAATTTTTGATATGCCTGTTTTGTCTACTTTTCTACTATATGTAGTTTTTATATAATTTGAAATGTCTTCAATTCTTTCTGGCCCTTTTGAAGATACATTCCATAAAACGGAACACAACTCTTCGTTTAATGTAATCTTCATTGTAGATTTATTAAATATGGTACTTAAAATCTAAGAAGTTTACTTATATACCAATTCTTGTCATTTCCGATACAGGTATTTCAAAGTAAAAAATTACAAATTGTCTACCTATTAACATTTAGGACTATATTACTATAACCTGTAATTCAGTCATTGATATTTCTTATTAGTGAATGAATCGAAATTATCATTACCTGTATACTTTTACCTACATGATTATAAACGAAACAGAACGAAATGATCTGTCGAAAAAATTTAGGTAAAAAATAGTTATAAATTTTTGAAAATTTAAGCATAATAGGACCTTTCAATTATAAGGATAAGCAAACAAATAGAAAATAGGTAAATATAAGATTTAAATATGTTCTGTCATACTTAATACTAAAATATGAAAAAGATGAAATTAAAGGACACAGGTTTAAATGAACATATTTTTGAATGTAATTGAGATATTGGCTTGAAATTTTTTGTAAAGGGTCGAGAATTTCCATATCTAACTAAAAAATGATATTAAGGGATAAATATGGACTAAATTGTTGTAGCTATCTGCGATCCTATTAAAATTTTGATATAAATCATAGTTTTAGAAATTAAACAAATATGTAATATATGACAAAATCTTTATTTATGAACAAAACTCAATGAAATTTTCAACGCTTGTTAAATTTGTCATTTAAAATAAGAAAATGCAAAAAAAAAATTGAAAAGGTCAAAGGGCATCCCGCAATTCCCAAAAATAGGAATGAAAATCCCAAAAATGGGATTTTTTACTTTTTTGCCCATAGGGTCCACATTTCTTTCAGGGCTGGGAAAATACTTTTGGAGTAAATAGAAAACATATTGAGGTTTCCAAAAGTGCTTTCAGTTTTCTGATCCCAGCTTTGGGATTTTAGAACATGTCGCCCAAAGTTGAAGTTTTGATAAAAAATAGGTCACATTCGGAAGGACGCAGTGGCAACATTTTCAAAAAATAGGACAAGTTTTTTACGTTCTGTGTAAAGATACCTTTTAGAAAACTATAAAATTGTTATATGTTCTTAAAGAAAATTTTATTTTATTAATAAAAGAGTTAAGACACATTTTTGGCAAAAAAACGCCAAAAATCTAAAATTTTTTGAATTTTAAAATTAAAAAACGTATATTTTTGGATCAGTAAATGATATTGATCTCAAATTTTTTGTATATTATTGGAAATTTTGTTGTCTAACTAACAAGAAAAAATTGAGTCCATTTGGTCCAAAATTACGCCCGGTATTCAAAAAAAGGCGGACCAAGGTATGGTAAATTTTGTATCACTAAATTTTTAAATGCCTATAACTCGGATATTATAAGAGATAAGTAGTATGTCCAAGCATGTTTTTTCAAGATCTCGACGAGCGCTTTCACAAAATATAAAAATCTTTGTATTTAGGTGAAAAACAAAAAAATGGCACGAGTTTAAAAATTTTACATGTCGTAGGTACCCTACTTTGAGCCGCCACAGCGCCGTCCCTGGGGCATCTGCAGGGTTCATCTTCAAAACTTAAACTCGAATACTCCTTGGCTACGCTCACGCCAAATTTTATCCCGATCGGATCAGCCGTTTAGAAATGCCAGATTTATTTCCAAAAAATTTCCATTCTGCCCCACTGTGCATAGTTTATAAGAACTCAATATAAGGAGTTTTGAAGTATATTTTTAAAATTATGCAGATAATAAAAACTAAAATCAATCAAAATTTATAAAAATGTCTGGATAGTTAAACTAATGAATAAAATATTAGTAGAAATACCATCAAATATGTATGTTTATTATCTATAACAAATACTTTTGACGAACAAATAGTTTTGACGATTTAATAACGATTTCGATTTGCACCCAAATCATCTGGCAACTATGACTACTACATATGCGTTTTAAACACCGTTGCTCTAAAACCATGCGTTTCAATGTACTAAATACAAGAAAAATAAAAAATTGAAAGGGCCATCAGTTCCATACCTGTGATTGAAAATATTGATCTCTGTGCAAGATATTCAAAAAAAATTTCTGCAATCTTTTCGAAATGGGTGTCAAAAATACTGTAATTTTGATCTTATAGCGGGAAAAATAATAAAAATTTTTGTTAGTGTATTTCTGGTCCGCAAAACGACTTTTATTGTATTATAGGGGACATATGTATACTAGGGATATAACTATTGACATTCTTTACAAATATGCAAGTTGGCATATTATAGTCGAATAGAGTATTAAAAACTATAAGAAACTACATTATTATTTTTTCGCGGTTGGTTAAAAAGTTCACGCACCAAATGTCTGTCCGTCTGTTTTTTATAATCAGTTTTCGGAATCCAAATCTTAGATAATTAATTTAAATATGCTTTTAAGTGTTTAGTTGTTTAAAACCCGTAAAATCGGTCCATAAGAATCGGAGATATGGTCAAAACAAATATGATCAACAAATAATTTTTTATGGACTTTTTGAATATAGTATATTTGCGAAAAATCAAAAAGTTCGGAGATATAGGCAATTATGAGTCGCGATGTGACAAAAATATACTTCTAGATAGAAATGCCCATATATAAATATTTTAATCTTAAAATTAAAAAAATAAAAAAAAAATTGGTTTATATTATATTGGTTTATATAATATACCTCTCCAATCCACTAAAAATCATTTGTGGACCATAAATACTTCACAAAAATTTTAAGATTATTTTACGCGTAATCATCTCAAAATGAGAACCATTACGAAAAATCGAAGATATTTTATTTTTCAAAAATTATACACTCTAATATACATATTTATTAAGTATATTGACAACTGTAGCTGACTACAATTATCTCTACTCCCTAATCTTTAATTGAAGTTGTATACTTTTTATTACCTGCTGATCTTGCTAAAGCTTGCCATAACTGTGTGGTAGCTGCATCAGTGCCATGTTCTTCCGATGTTAGACTATCAGGAGACGTACGTTCATAGCGAATTTCAGTTTCTATATTCAACATTTTCGTCTTTGGGACAGCGTGAGTATTTGTGTGTGGTAATCCAGATTTTTCAGTAAAACTAAAAGCATTTGTGCCAAGTTTTCTCTCCAATTTGGTTTCTTTAACAATTTGATTTTCCAAGCAATCTTCTTGGGATATTATTGATTTGTCCTGTTGCGAATAAAAATCCGTGAAGTTTCTTAAATCACATCTGGAATCTTTTTTTGATAAATCCATTTCAATATCTGAATTTACTGGACGTTTATCTTTTATCACAGAATTTAAAATACTAGAATCTATAGATGAACATAGTCTTGGAGATTGGGGATTCGAGCAGGGTGGTGATATTATCACTTTTTTACTTATATCCATAAGCACAGCGGCGGTTTCCAGTTGTTGTTGTAAACATTGGCTTTTCTCATTATTATCGTCTATATTCGAAGTTGGTTCCTTATTTTCAGAATGATAATTTAGTTTTTTAACTACTGCAAAACTGTATTCTTGTTTTAAAACTTCTTGAGGGCTTTTTTGTGTTTCAAGTGGTGATTTAACATTTTTTGATTTTCTCTTTATAGGGGAATCATTCTTAGAGAATGCACTCAACTCCGTTAGCGCCTTGGCTGCCATTTGTTCAGATGAAGATTTGTTGCATGTTGCCGAAGATAAAAGGTCGTTGAAATACATATTAATATCTGCAGAGTTCTAAAAATAGGAAATTACAACTTCGTCATTCAATTATTTATATTTAATTTACTATACTAAAAATTGTCCAAAAATGGTTTGGACTTTAATTTTCTTTTAATATATCGCTCATTTACTACAAGAATGGCATCTAAAAATTTTTTTTTTGAACTGAGGGCTACAACACTAAAGTTAGATGAGAAATATATTATCGTCACCTGTTCTGGTTTAAGTTTTCAAAACCTTGATTTATTTAAAAAATATTCAAAACCATTTTGTCGAAACGACTTGTTTTGAAATATGTCAGTTTTGTAGTAAAGGAGCGCTTTTTTTGCTATATAATGAAAATTAAATACAATTATATTGTAGAAGTCAAGGATAAGATTTTAACTCTTAAATGCAAACCTTTAATATACATACATATTAAGCTTCGTTTCAAAAAATAAAATGTTTCCCGTTTTTGTGATATCACAACTTTTTAGAAGGTTTTTGCATCAGTAATTACTATGCTGTAATAATTTTTTCAAAATTCCAACTCCTTCCTCTGCACATCTGAGGCGGAAACCACTGATTTTGAGCGACATATTTTACAGAGCAGAAACTGTAGAATTTATAGGAAATCATGCTTTAATAATTGATTTTATAGGAAAAATCAATAAGAATGAGCTTAATTTCACACTTTTATAATGCTTCAAAAGTGCATTTAGTATTATCCAAAGATACACTTTTTTCAAAAAATATTTCAAAAAATGTTTTTCTTTGTGCATAATCAAAGTATGCTTTTTGCTGAGACAAATGGTGCAAAAACAAAAATTTTATCATTACCCTTTAGATGTGATGAGACTTTAAATTTTCAGATTTTAAACTTTACAACGCTATATTTCGAAAACCACGAAAGTTATAAGGCCCTAAATTTGTCATTATACAAGTTATATATGGAACATTAATTGGATGGAGTTTTATTAAATTCGGAGATGATGATGAAAAACACCATTGTTTAATGGGAAATTATTAAACCACAAGCCAACATTATAACCATCATAACTCCTAAAGGGATTACAATAAATTAAAAATTTTAACACTATTTTTTTAAGGGCATTGAATATTATATTTACGAATGATAAAATCAGGTTTTGAATTTCTTTTTTTTTTAATTGCATTTTTTCTTTTGCTCTTATGCATTTATAGTGCATCTAAATTCTGTCAAATTAAGTTTATATATTTTAAATTTTCCTGTAGAATAGTATACTAAAGTCAGATTTGAAATATATACAGCAAATTTCGGACTATAAAAAAATGTCGCCCAAAATCGGTATTTAGCAAACGTTTTAGAAATATAAAAATCGTTGATTTAATACAAATTTATGTCTCTTCTCAGCCTTCGTTTATTCTATTTTGGAAAAATATTGCGACGATATTGGGTGTACCTACTGAATTTTTATTTTATATCTGAGCATTATTGTTATAATTTTATTGCTAATTAAAATGTGGTTAATTATTTTGATTTATTTACTAATTTAATGTACATTTAAATATAAGTGAAATGATTGAATGATGACGATAGCCAATTAACCCCTTTCTACGGCACATTCGTAATTCGTTTTGACAGTTCATCGTCATGTTGTTTTTTTCATTGATTATTTTGTAATTTTTTGGAATATTAGTGTGTGTGTGTATTAGGGTGGGTCGAAAAAAAAAAGTTGAGTCAGTCACCCCCTACGATTAAAGATATGTTAATAACATTTCCAAAAATATAAAAAATATTTTTTTGCCACGCCTAGAAATACCGCCCTTTTTGTTTTTTATATATTACGTCGGATCGTAACATATAATATATCAATATTTATGGCTTGATTGTAGCTATATTTTACTCTTAGACAATTTTTTAATTCGACATCATATTCTATGCGCGACTTCTGATATCTCGGATCCTTCCCCAAAATCTAAAAATGTGGCTATACTGGAATAAAGTATATTTAATTATATGAGCTATTATCTTTTAAAATGCTCAGTTTTATGCATAAACAGCTATTTTACAGGTATTTAAAAATACCTGTATAGTTTTAACTACAAACAATTAATTTGCTAGGGATATGGTCGAAAACTATTTTTTCAAATTAATTTACAATACAAAAATTTCACTCTGCTCCCTACCTTAACACAAAAAAGATAATTTTATTCATCATTTAATTTTATTAATTAATAACAAAATCACGTAGGTACATAAAAACTAAACATTTTATTTTATAAAAATTGATGAAAAATTAAAGAGTTCTGCTTTATAAAAATATTTCATGTTTTTACCATACAATTACTAGCATGTTTCTTCGTTTTTTTTAACAATTTTCAAAAATGTTTATGATAATTTTTATAAAATGGAATAGATTTATTTAATGATATCTTAACTTTTCTTAAATAGTTATATATTTTTAAAAGAAGTTCTTGAAATAAAAACTAATAAAAAAATATTAGTCGGGAATGGCCGACCATATGATACCAGTTATGAGTATATATAAAATGTGATTTCTTTTTTAATAAAGCACTTATATTGAAATTTGTCCACTACTTTTTAAGCAATTTATTGATGAAAAACTGATTTTCTGAAAGAGCCTGCACAGAAAAAATTATCGGTAGTTTATTTTCAATTAACATGTTTTTCTCTTTCTTTAATTTTAATTTTAACAATTTTTTATTTGTCTTGATTATCTCATTGTTTAAAACCTAAGTTTACAAATTTGATTAAATTTTTAATTGATTCAATTACCTTTTTAATTGATTGAAAAAAATTTTCTGGCCAACTTTTCTATTTTAGCTTTTTTTAAATATTTTATTTTGATTTCTTATGCTAACAATGTTTATAATTCTTAAATAGTCAATAAGATTTTAGGCATATAATATTCAAGTTTCTTGACAATTTATAAAACACTTTATATGTTCAAATTTGATAATAAAGTGATATTTTTTGTAAATGCTCAACGCATTGTTTAAGGGTAAAGTATTCCCTTAACATTGTGAGTAATCAATTAATAATGTGATTGTTTTAATCATCAACTTAATTGGTTTTTCATAAATTTTCTACCAAACAAACTAATTCATTTGATTAATAAATTAATAAAAAATTATATATTATTTTTATTAAATATTTAATTTATTCAATTAATGAATTAATCAATTTTAAATTTTGTCTCAATTATCGATATTAATTGTTCTGATTAATTCGTTATTTGAAAAAAAGTATGTTTTTTAATTTTTTTACAAATTTGATAATTGATATCATCATTTTGGTGATAGGTGCAAAACTTGCTTGATACAATTATTTTGATAATTGAAACATATTTTCAGTTTTTTCTGTGTATATATGAGAGCTAGGATCAATTATAGACCGATCCTATCAAAATTTGGTGGAGGGATTTATGTTCATATAGGAGTTAGATATGCAAAATTTCATCATAATGGTAGTGTTAAAGACGGAAATAACTTCAAGCCAAACGGACAAGCTCCGATTTAATTCATTTTCAAACAACTTCGTCCATTGGTAAAATGAAATATTTGAGCCTATTTTCATCAAATTATCTGGAAAATTGCGACTTGTAGTTTGATTACAAGTTTTACATGGACGGACAGTCGGACGGACATATCTAAACCACTATATTGCTGTAGGATATACATAGTTAACTTTTTTCTATTTTGAAAGGAAGTAGGATATGAACTGGTTTGTAACTGAAAAAATAAAAGGATTTCTATTTTATATAATTCATTTAAAAAAATGTTTTCGACTGTTTTTCATGGCAAATTAATTGTTTGTTCTGAGAACGGTTGATAAATACTTGAACAGTTTTAAATATCTATAAAATAGGTGTTTATGCATAAAAGTGAGAATTTTAAAAGCTAATAGTTCAAATAATTCAATGTACTTTATTCCAGTATAGCCACAATTTTAGATTTTGGGGAAGGATCCGAGATATCAGAAATCGTTTATAGAATATGACGTCGAATTAAAAAATTTTCTAAGAGTGAAATATAGCCACAGTCAAGCCATAAATATTGATATATGACATGTTACGATCGGACTTAAAATGGCGGCGTAATATATAAAAAACAAAAAGGGCGGTATTTCTAGGCGTGGCAAAAAAATATTTTTTACATTTTTGGAAATGTTATTAACATATCTTTAAACCTAGGGGGTGACTGACACAACTTTTTTTTTGTCCATAGAGACCGACCCACTCTAGTGTGTATGATACAAAAATACGTTTGTTACATTATTTCACTCGGGGGAGTTTTCCCGTTTTTCCTACCGAGCGCGTCCCCGGGTGGCGGATAGGGGGTGGTGATGGACCATCTTTCCTCCCCCAGTTTTAGTTTGAATCAAGCTGAGGGAGGGCAGATTGTCCACCACCTGGGAATATTATATTCCCCGCGGACCAAAAACTGGAAAAAAACAACATGGAAAATAAAAATAAAAAGATGAAAGTTACGGTGCAGGGCCTAAATAACCCAGTACCGGCGGCAAGTGTTGATCCACTCGCGAGTCACGTGTCGTCGTCCTCCTGCAATCGTGAGCAAAATACTACTACGGAGGTGGGTACCTTGGCCTCCGTGGCGGACAATGCGTCAAGTGTACAGCATGCCATTAGCAAAAACATAGGGGTGAAAGAGAAGGATGTACTCGGAGAGAGCTCTAAGCTACCTCAGCCTTTAAATATAGGTGAGAGTTCCGACTCTGAATCCTCAGAAGATAATAACAACACCATTATAGCAAATCCCAAAAAGGATGAAGTAGGGCAAATGGTGAAACAGGTAAGTGATAGTATAGCTAAACTACCTATTACTTAGAAAAGACTATCTGGAGCACAGAGGAGGAAGCTGAAAAAGATGCTTCAGGAAATCATAGTTAGTCAATCCAACGACACTCCAAAGGAAAAATTGGACAAGATCTGAGACAAAGAGGATCAGGTCTCCCGAAGAGTTGACAACTGAGAATAAACCTAAGAAGAAAAAGAGCTCCCCGTCTTCTAATA